TTTTTTTGGGTATTAAAAATGGAGTAAATTTTAATTTCTAATAATTTTAGTCTTGTCGTGAAAAAAAAAAATAGTTTCGTATATGCACTATAAATATGAAGTAATATATTTACTAAAAATATTATGAAAAATCCGGACGTATTCCGGGACAACCTCTAGTCTATTATATAAAGAGTGAATGATGAGGTCGACGAGGATGTGACACCTCAACACATCTTGTGCCACATCTGCTTGCTTATTTGTAATTAAATAAAAAAAAACTAAATTGCTAAAAACTAATCAAGTAATTATGTCTTTTATAGTCAGGTTCATCTCTCTAATGTTCTATTTCATTTATCGTGGTGTTTGTTGGACTCCCACTTTGGTGCCTTTTATCATTCATGACCCGTTATAATGCTTCAAACGTCGTGAAATTATTTACCTGCTCAAACACAGAAAAAGGAAATATCGGACAAGGAAGGTCATTAGGCAAGAAGGAGAATAAGAGGTAACAAATAACTCTAAACTTAAGCAGATTGTGTGGTAACAAGGACTTTTTTTTCTAAATCTCCAATCCAATATATAGTTCTCAATATTCTAAACTTAAGCAGATTGTGTGGACGGTTGTGGTTGGTAGCTTTTGGCAACAATCAAGAATACCCCTTCGTACTGCTTTATGCTGTTTGAAATCGCTATAAAAACAATTCCACCACCACTCCAAATCCCACTAAAAAATAGAGTAACTCATGTTTACTTTATAATTCGAATAAGCCAATTTTTAACTCCGTTTTGGATTTTGAACTTTTTTTATTTATTAATAAAAATCACTTTTAAATGATTCTCCCTTTATATTTAAAATACAGTATTAAAAATGTTTTGGTTATCAATTCGTTAATCTTTAACAAAAACTTACGAATGGTTTGTCAACGTGATTAATGAGTCCAGTACACTAAATTTAATAAATTTATCAAAATCCACACTTAAGAAAATACTATCAAAGTCACATTAAAAAGATACTGTAACCATTCCATAATTAAAAGAGAATTTTTTAGAAATGTCATTTTTTAAAAATGCTATTTTTTTAAAATTTTTTGTTAAAATATCATTTTTTCAAAATTATTTATATATCATTTTTGTTTGGGTTAATTATGTTGTATTAGGGTTTAGGATTTGCTAGGGGTCAAAAACCTTTTTTAGGGTTTAAAATTGCTAGATTTAGAGTTTAAAAATCATTTTAGTGACATTTTTAAAAATAGACACACCAAAATTAGTATTTTTACAATTGTCCCTGAAAGAAATTCCATAATGATTACATATATTTCAAATACGATGACATATATTTAATAAAAAAAAGTACAATAACATAAAGTACAATAGCTTTAAAATATATAAAATACTAAAATTAAGATAAACAACGTAAAAATACATATAACATGATATAAATTATGGGGT